CAGTCTCCCTTGTCTTTGTCGGTTATACTCTATTGCCTATAATAATAGCCACTGTGCGGCTTCTGGCGAGGTTCAAGAGGGGGCCCTGAGGCAGGACATGACGTGTGAGTCTCGTAACCAATCGGTGAGCATCCATCCACCAAGGGCCTTTTCTTGATAGTAGTTAGGCTGCCGATTGCAATTTGCGAATTACAAACCAGCAAAGTCCCCGTAGTTTCCAGAAGTAGTCCACATAAAATCAGGGGCGTCGTCCTGGCAGACAAGGTAGTTGGGGGAAAAAAATTGGTCACTTCCAAATGTGATTAATCTCACGGTTCCCAGTCGGGATTGCGAATGTGACCGAGGGCGGTGCGTTTTTTTCACAATGAATAATCAGGCTGGCAGGTATAAGTGTCCTTGTGCCCAAGTGGTTTGCGTGTTGCATTATCTGAAGGAGGGGGAGTATGTTCAAGTTGTGGCATGAACGGCTAGACTGTAAGGCCATTTCGTCTGGAATCGCTCATTGGTGCAGTTCGTGACCTTGACGCAGTGAATCACTGAACAGATCTGCCGGGAATTTTACTGATGACAATTAACCACAAGACCTTAAAACGACCAAACGTTCTGTTTTCAGAAATGGAGTTTCTTTCATTTCTGCTGCGGCATTAGCACGAGTGTTGCCCACGCCAGACGGAGTCTCTATACGCTCCCGCTTATATCTACTCCAATTCAGGCGCCTGGCTTTCAGGGCTAGTGGTAGTCATCGTAATTACCAAATGACGATGTTTTCCATTTTGCGCACTGTAACTGTCATTCAGCTCTCGTCTATGCGTTGTGACAGCTCAGCATTTGCACTTAGCACAAACTTTACTAAATGCGTAAATACCCACCAATGAGGGAACGTTTTTGGGTTCTTTTTTTTTTCATTGAATTACTCCTTGAAACCTGCTTGACAAATAGTTCCACGCTGTCGTCGGCTGATTATGCCCTAGCATAGTGATGCCAACCACAGGCAAATAATTAGC